GTAGTTTCAGTGTTGATTAGTTATGAGACTGATATAGGCGGTAATTCTTCTCGGACGCAGAGGCGTAATTTAACTTTCTCGAGAAATTTTTCAGCCCACAAACGTACGTATTAATAAACCGATTGATGCCATAAATCTCGTAGTTTCGAGATCTTTAACTGCTCCTACGAGACCTATTAATTAAGCAATTAAACGGAACTATGTATTTTAAATAGCGTAAAAAAGACTTGAATAAAGAAATGTTCAAAATTTCGTGGACGATCTTTCATGGACATCTTCCATAACATGAAAACTGCTTAGATGTATAAACAATAAAGAGGAGTAAATAAGTAAAAGTATATGTATATTATTGGTGGAGTGTTGATTGATTTATAAAAATTGATGAATCAACGTGTAATTGACAATTGAATCGTTCACAGGCCAAAGTGGTCAACTCTAATTTTTGAAATTTTTTAGATCTCAGTGTCAAGCTCATCTTTTATAATTACATCAATTTTCCTTGCTTCTTGGTTTGTGAAGTTAATTAATTCGACAGATAAACAGTTTAATTAATAAGCCAACGAAGAGCAAAAGTTCTCATTAAAGTAGGAAGAAATAAGAAGTCAAAGGGAAAGGATTCTACGATAAGTTTCTCAATCTATTTCCTTGCATCTCATCACGAGACTGGTCCTTCGAGTAGTTTGTTAATTAGCACACGCGTGCAAACAGAATGATCACACACACCAACCATAGATATAAGTATCGTGCTAGTAGACTGCGAATTTTTATGCAAATTCATATTTTTGAGAATATAATTAAAACAGTGGAACCTTGGTGGAAAATTGTTTTACCTAGCAAGTGTTGTAGGAAGCACTATACTTTGAACAATATGTGCATTTCGTGCAATTCCGTACTTTCAAATTTCCTATAAATGCATACAAATTTTTATTGCACGTATTTGAACGGTATTTGCTCGCCACAAAATGACAGCGAAGTCAGAAAATCGACACGGATATCGGATAACTGCATTTGATATCGAATGCCAGATTTTAAAAACTTCCCAATAAAAAGAAACATGCTCGTTTCCAATGAAACAAGACAAAATCGATAGTTGTGTGTTAAAATAAACGTTATGTTAAAATAGTGCTAGTTTAAATTTATACAAAAATTAAAACGTTATCTTGACGTCGTGATAAAAAGTGTAAAAAAAAAAATGAAATGCAACGAAGTAGAAAAGTATGTAGTGTCGAATATGGGACACTCAGAAAATTTGTAAAAAATTCTCGAACAACTTTATTTTCATTACAGCGGTCCAAATTTCCATATGGCCACTGTGTTCTTTGGTAAAATCTTACAACCATTTTATTCTAACGATAAGTTTGTGTATGATAGCATTTTGGGAAAATTAGAAAAAAAACACGTGCTTCAGTTGTGACAACGGAAATAGCATTTCTTTCAAAAGATATAAAAGATATAATTAATTAAATTAATATAAAATGATATAATTAACGTAAAAATATAATTTAACAGAAGGCAAAATGCAAAATTTCTATAAAACCAACGCGCTCTTTAAATAAATAAAATGCAAATTGACATTAACTTGCTCGCTGTTTCCATATCGATAGTTTATACAAATTTTGTAATGTTTTTCTATCGATAGACATCCACGTTTGGATAATTCTCCAATGGAATTATATTGCCTGCAATGCATGAAATTTTCTTGCAATTAGCCCCCAAAGATTTTCTATGGAATTCTAATCTGGGGAACAAGCTGGTCATGTTAAATCCTTGACATTCCTTTTGATGTAGCCATCGTTTTGTACGTTTTGACGTGTAAATCGGAGCGTTATCGTGTTGATAAATAAAATTATCATCTGCAATTCTTTCTGTGAATGTTATTAAAACCATTTCTACATATACGTTTCTTTTCTATTTCTTCCAAAATGGTATCATACACAGACTTGTCATTAAAATGGGATATTAGATTTTACTGTAAAACATACAGTAGCTTTATGGAAATTTCAGCAACTGTATGTATATGTACTCTCATGTTTCTCCTGTCATCTTCCTGTCCAATCTCCTGATCCAAGAGAAACAAGCATCACACACACTGAACTATTTATCTCGGTAATTATTCGCAGCAACATCAATTAAAGGATACATAAATCCTTGACCAAGAAAGTAAATTCACTGTTAAGAAAGAGCCACGTTCGTAGATTTACGGCCGTAAATTGCATGTATACGTCTAACGTATTTAGCGGAATTTATCTTTGAAGACGTTTTTCAAGTTGCTCGCGGAACGAGGATAAGGATGTTAATTGGTCTCGCTTAATTATTCTTCAATTACATTTGCTGCTGCACCTTACTGTCTTGCCTCTCGTCCCTCCTCAGCTTGATTCTTTCTAGCAAAAGAAACGGCGCGCAACGCTGTGTACTTACACGAGTACATATTACTTGGCGAAGCAATTTGCAGTTACTGTGCTGACGATGACTCGAAATACCTAAGCGTCTGTTACTTCCCACGCACGAATTACGCCGCGTCGCCTTCAGCCTATTCGGCTGGTCCGCCTGTTTTCCTTCAAACTTCTCCCACAATTTCCAATTTTAAGTAATCGTTCATTTACGACGTTACCGCGTTGCTCAGATTCGTTTACCATCGAGACATGATACAGTGACTGACGAAACTGTTTGGATGCACGTGAAAATTTATTGCGGATGCATTATGCGTATTATACGAAGGATTTTGCAATATTTCGAAATTTTACGTATTTCTACGGTTCTTCGCGTTGCAGCCGTATTTTTGTTAAGAGACGTTCAGAGCATCGATATTGTTGTTAATATTTAAACTTCTCGATGTTATGAGTCCCTAGATTTTAGACGATCGATATACAGGATGTAACAAAACACGTGAGACTCACTTTGGGAACTGATTGTACACGTAAAAAGGATGAAAAAAGTTGATATAAACGTATCTACCTATGTGTCTTCGTTCGTGAGATATAACGAATTTTGTAAGCAGAACAAACCCAGTGAATATACTAAGTCGAAATACTAAGCTTCAGAACAGGACAAGCTTTCCGACAAATTCGGGAAACGCCAGCAAGCGTTCAGAGTGTAACCGGAATCATGACAAGACGTTTACTGGTTTGCTTTGAAATACAGGATCGTCTTTTTGAGCATCTTCTGTGATAGTAATCAGACAACATAAAAACGATGCAGAAAATTCGTTGTCTTTCATGAACAAAGAGATAGATAGAACATATATTTATATGAGCTTATTTTTATTGTTTTAACAGGTTCTGTTACACCCTGTATATTGTCGATACGACATTGAGAACCTTAAATATTGACAATAATTAGCAATTAATCAGACAACATAAAAACGAAGCAGAAAATTCATTGTCTTTCATGAACGAACATAGATAGAACACATATTTACATGAGCTTATTTTTATTGTTTTAACAGGTTCTATTGCAACCTATATATTGTCGATATGACATTGAGAACCTTAAATATTGACAATAATTAGCAATTAATCAGACAACATAAAAACGAAGCAGTAGATTTGTTGTCTTTCATGAACAAACATAGATAGAACACATATTTACATGAGCTTCTTTTTATTATTTTAACAGGTTCTATTGCAACCTATATATTGTCGATATGACATTGAGAACCTTAAATATCGGCAATAATTAGCAATTAATCAGACAACATAAAAACGAAGCAGTAGATTTGTTGTCTTTCATGAACAAACATAGATAGAACACATATTTACATGAGCTTATTTTTATTATTTTAACAGGTTTTGTTGCAACCTATATATTGTCGATATGACATTGAGAACCTTAAATATTGGCAATAATTAGCAATTAATCAGACAACATAAAAACGAAGCAGAAAATTCGTTGTCTTTCATGAACGAACATAGATAGAACATATATTCACCTGAGCTTATTTTTATTGTTTTAACAGATTTTGTTGCAACCTGTATATTGTCTACACGACGTTGAGAACCTTAAATATTGGCAATAATTAACAATTAATCAGATAACACAAAAACGGAGCAGAAAATTCGTTTTATCTCATGGTCGAACATAGATAGAACATATGTTCATACGAGCCTATTTTTATTGTTTTTACGAGTACAATCAGCTTCCGAAGTGTGCACCATACGTTCTCTTACATCCTGTACATTGTCGATGCAATAATAAGAATCTTAAATATTGACTATAATATCGATCTTTACAACGTTTCAATTTTCTTTAAATTTTTGTATCTTCTTTTTTTTTCCAGATCTGTCCGAAAAATCACGAAACTTCGGAACAAAGTATAACGTACTAATAAAGAAACGACTGAAACCCGAAGAAGCATAAATATGTCATTTTGAAACTTCATTAACTGTGACAAGATAACATTATCACGATTATAGTAGTAAAATCTGAAACGAATCTGGAAGTATACATATAGAAATTACAAGATATTTATTGGAAACATACATCTCGAGAGGATCAGGAAAATATTTGCACGATCAATTGTTTACTATATATCAGAATATTTAATGAGATCACTTTTCAGCACTAATTGCATATTCAAGACGACTATTAGAATCGTGTATTAATTCTTCGTTGGATGTATGTTTGCGATAAATGTATTGTAACTTGTAATTTATATCTATGTATATTTTCATTGGTAAAATTTGATCAATATAACGACGATAATCGTGTCTCATCGTAGTGTTAATAAAATTTCAAGAACTTTCGTATAGCATACGTAATACATTCATAAAAATTTCCTGCGTCAAATATTCGAATACTTTTCTGAACTGTCCCATATATTCAAAGCGTTTAAAACTGTGAAAACGAGTCACGAACATATAGCGGTAATTAATTTTAGTAATTAAATCGCTGCGCAGATGAGTTATATCACGACGAATAATCTTTCTAAGGACAGATTAAGCCGACAGTGTTTAATCTAGCTGTCGTCATTCTTTCTAAGGAGATGAATTAATATCACTCACCTGTTCGACCCACAGATTCGTCGTCATGATCTGATTCTTCAAGTTCTGTAACAAACGTAAAAAAATGACTTCTTAATTCATTGTATTAAGTATCGTTAGAGTATATTTAGATCTAAATACTAATTTTCTTATTTTTCTTTCTCGCTCCATTATATTCTACATTATTTATGAATTTTTTCATTCAGAGATAAAATTACACATTGATGTGGATGAAAATGAATTATTAAACTATATAGAATACATAGAATGATTTGGATATGTCAAAAAGCAAGGAAAACGTTTCATACGGACTACAGAAATACACATGTATACACCGATATGATTTTGTCTGCGAACGCATCAGCCGTTTTCGCAGAAATTGTTCAGCTGCAGCTGCTTAAGTGCAAGTTTCTAAATGTCTTAGCATAAATTGCCTTCTGTTGCCACAAATTACCATATTACTCGGATTCGTGGGCAATCTCCTGGAAAACTGTCGAAGAACTTAAACGTTATCTACTGATATATTCTACACGAAAGATCATGTAAATTAAAAGCGCCATGACTGAGTTTATAACCAAATGTATTTACCATTTCTATTTACCAATTCTTTTTGGCCAGACCCATTAATATCGCTTATCTGTTCGATCCATGTGCATTTTTACTTCGAATTGTCTAAAATAAGATGAAGCATGACGAAAAAATAACGGTGACATCGTAGTCGTTCGGAAAAAATAATTGGAAAAAGATTATTTTCCCATAAAACCGAATTGTGCGTTAATCATTTCTCAAAAATAAGAAGATGTTCAATTTTGGCGGAGACGTTTAATCTAAAAAAATAAGACGAGGACTTTATAATTATGTTTTGATAATCGCAAGACAAGATTATCTATGGAGAAAATATTTCAAATTAGACGTTTACTGCCCATGTTTGTTACGTGAAAAATAAAGCTTGTCACTGTGGAAAAGCGAGCAAAATGTATATTCATAAGGAACTCTTCAAATATCGACTCTACCGTAATTTTTAACGAAGCTTCAATAATATATTTACATCTTAAATAAAGTTTATTTAATATTTGTTGCATCCGTGTGTACAACACAGTGTAGCAAATACAGTACATCGGATGTGACGCAAGGCCACCTGGTGTATTAACACAACTTGTTTTTTGCTTGCGAGATTTCTGGCGATTTTTGACGATTGCGAAACGAAGTGAATTTGAAGCGCCTCTTTAAGTTTCAAAATACTTCTGAGAAAACGTCGATATCTCAAAACGAACCAGCGTAAATTTACATGGAAAGTTGTGACGAACAGTTCAGCAGAAGCCAGTCCAATTCGGCGCGAGCAAAAGAGATTGAAATCTGACGTTAATTATTTCAATTATGATGAAAATAAGAAGAGTCGAAGTGAAAAGTTGGTAGACGATATAACTCGCTAATTAAAACGTACGTCGAGTGATTATTCGCCACAGGATGTATACTTTGAAAATTCGTAATACTTCATCAAGATAAATATAAATTAGGCTGCGTACTTGAAAAGTTCGCGAAATATTTCATCAAGATAACAATTATTAATTTACGATATTGCCAGAAGATCGAAAGTTTGCTGGAGGTTTGACTTTGTCCGTAAATTATTCATTCTTTGAATCGGTCTTTGCGAAACATTTGAGATATTTTCCTGGTTTCTCACCGCTAATTTAAATCCGACGCTGTGCAAGTTTTAACGAGTTCGGTATCTGGTCTGCCTCGAGAAGAACGAAACTGTGCGACAGCTGTGAAATGTAAATGCCGCAGAGATACCAAAGGAACAAGAACCGAACGAAGACAGAGTTCAATGAACGAACTTTAAAACAATATCTACGTCTCTTTTAGCGTTGTCGCCGTTTCATGAAAATGCTTTTTCATGCTAAGTTACTCCAAATATTATCAATGACACTTTTACTGAAAGCGTAAAAGCTGAAATTGATTACAACGTCGTAACTATTGCCAAGTTGTATCTTCTGCGATAATTTGCGTTATCGTCGAAGCACGTGGTTTTTGCAATTCTAACTGCTTCCTTCTTTGCTGAAATGAAATACGCTGACGAGTATTTAACGGTATGAAGAATCCCTGTCATCTTAAACAAGCATATTTCTCGTGTATTAAGAAGATTGATTGGCAAATTTGAAAAGCGTGGCTGTATAATCGCGAACAGTATGAAGAGATTAAATACCAAGAACGTGTACGAGGGAATTAAAATATCAACTTGACGATATGGGGCTGATAATAATAAATTCAATGCTTAATTTAGTTTGTTATTTTAAATGCTTAAATTAAGTGTCTAATTTAATATACCTCAATTTACCTACAATAATTCTACGTAAAATTTTTGGTAAATTTATATTGCTAAATGGTTACATCGTCGAGGATGATCAGAAGAATCGTCGACGACAAACAATAAGAAAAATTCAAGCAGAAGAAAATTACGTTTGTACTTCGAGACTAGCTATTTACATCCCAAAAATACCTAGTCCCATATAACCACTATTTAGTTACAAAAAGAAATTCATAAAAATGTTGTTACACCGTTCTTAAAACTTTACGAGTACTTGTACATCTGATTATTTTTACTACAAAACATGCTCGAAATAGCCACTATGTATGCCAGTATATCGATACGATGTTGTAATGTGCGAACCAGTGCATGTCTTATCGTCTCTCAGTTTATTTGCAGAATATACGGTGGAAATTCGTTGCACCGTATCTGGCGAAATTGTCGGCGCATCTCGATACATGGTATTTTTCAGTGTTCCCAGCGAGAAAGACTCTGAGCTTATTAAGAGCAAGACCGAGCCACCAAGGAACTGCGTGCTCACGTTCTACCCATCGATTTGGAAAAATTTCCTCGCCAACGTTTGTCACTTCTTCATCGCTGTTTAGTGTATCCATCGTGCTGGGAATATTTCGTCGTACGAATTCTAATAAATAACATACTTTGTAAGAACTCATTTTTCTTATATCTTTCAGGTAAAACATCAACTGTCTTGGAATAAAGTAAATTTGTTTTACTATTTTGATACTCAGAATTCGTTAAAAAGAATTGAACATTTTAGTTGGAAAAACAGAATTTATCCGTCCAGCTGTCCAATTCCACTGATTACCGTCGTATTATGTTGTTTGGATATTTTGTTCGTAAAAGCAGAATTTATCTCCGGTTATCTGACTTCACCTGTAAAGAAATCGTTACCGTCGTAATATTACGTCCTGTTCTCGATTATACGATTTTCGTGGATAATATTTTCACTCATTGTTCAAAATAACGAAGATATTTAATGCAGCAGAGTTAGCGGAACTTTGGCAAATAATTATAATTTCATTCTTTGTCGACACAACTGTATTACATAAATTATAAATCAGACTGAACAGGAAGTTTGAAGTTCCAAAGTGAGAGGAAATATTTGCAAAGCTCAGGTCACGAACTTCTAACGCAAAGTTGATTAAGCTAACAATAAGAATGGAATTATATCGTAGCATACGAAAGCGTAATGGTTCGTTAATGGTATGTTACTGATAGTATTAGCCCTATGTACTTAATGTACTACTTGTAATAACAACATTAATTAATAATGTTCAGAATCGCCAATGTTGATGACATAGTACAGATCTTGTTCCTAAATACCGATAAAACGATGCTGGAAATTATGATTTCGAAAATTTTGAAATTCTTCGCGTCACTTAATGCAAATCAAAAGATTAACTAACCCATTGCCCAACTTTTTGTTAAGAATACAAGACGATGTTATAATTACGATAGTCATGTCTCGTTACAGCGATAATGAAATTTTAAAGTATTTCATGTAATGTGATAAGTTGGGAAAAAGTCACGTAAATCCAGACTATGTGTAAATATATCGTACTTTTATTATCCTTGTGTCTTACTGTATAAAGCATATTTGTTTTAAAACGATTAATAAATAAATATATTCTTAAAAATTGTGGATCTTAATTGCCGAAATAAAAGTAAAGGAACACTAAGATTACATTTAGAATTCATATTAAAATAGTCTTAGATTTATTTAATAAACAATTTCCAGGATCTTCGTCGATATACATTTGCACGCGTCTCAGTATTCTCTTTGTCTCACCATCTTCTGTACCACACTACCCACGAAACAGTTACATTCGTCTCTTTCGAGACGCTGTGCACACACATACTTCCATACACTCATATTCACATACGTGTGTCACTACTCGCGGCTAATCTAGTCTAGTACACAAAATTATACATATGAATGCGAAAATGAGTTAGTACACGAAGCCAAATCAACTTAAAGTTGTAGATCGATGTCATTCGTTTCGCTTATTTTATTGAGCAGTGAAGGAGGACTTAAAATTGCAACACAAAGTAACTATACGTCGAATGTCACTAAATTAACTATAACGAGTATTGTTATAATGTTTAGTGTAAGAGAATGTCTCGCGAAAGCACATAAAAGCACACGTTCAGCGAAGCGCGCTGGTAGCGATTCTCTAAACTACTTTGACAGACTTCGAAGCGGTTCGACGCGCTCTTTTATAGCTGGGCACTGGCGAAAGTTCGTAGTTTTAAGAATTCGTCGCTAACGAATTTCCTTCCGACTGTCGATCGTCTGACGAGGTCGGTGTCCTGATGACGCCGGCAGTCAGTGTTAGACGAAGACAACCTTATCAGGGCATCGGCCGGGCTGACAGCTATCGGCTGCCTCGCGGAAGGTGCAAATCTTGTAGCAAGTCCGCGTGTGTCTGAAGTTAGACGACGATACGAACTATGATAAGCTACAAAATCTATGCGAGGCTAAATCGTCGCGTTTTTAAAGGAAAACTAATGCATCCGGGATATTTGCGTGATGTTAACAATAGCCAGAGGTTTTGTTCAAGCGAACCACGACGCCTCGCAAGAGTCAAACGGCAACTTTCTAACGCGTTTATGAAACTTTGTTTTTACATTGTTTCAATCTATTAGGTTGTCCGAAAAGTTTCTTTCGTTTTATAAGGAAATAATAGACGCACAATGTTTTTTATTTTATATTAGTTTATCGAATTATGCGCG